AAAAAAACATCCAGAGCCTGCTTCTCCATACTCGACTCCACTTGACTAGTTACTCTACGTTCCCTTGCCTTCTGCCCTCGGCTCCAGTGCAGAGCGGTGTGGGTCTATTTTCCACGTGGTCGCAACATGGCTTGCAGCGACGATCGCGTGAGTCTCCTGAAGGCCGGAATGTGTAAATCGGATCAACCAAACGAGTGTGGGAGTGACTTCATGAATGGAAGTTTTTTCTCCCGCATATTGGGGGAGGGAGTGACCTCACATCATGATTGCAAGGTGACATTTTTTTTCCCACGATGGGGGGGGTTGGCTGGCAGGAATTCTACTCCGAGTGGCTTTCGGACGTCGACTTCATCAGGAATCGTCGAAAGCTGCTGAGACAAAGGAAAAAAAATTGGAGAAGGTGACCCTGCTGTGCCTCATTTGGATTATAATTGACAACATTGTTTTACACGCCGGCATGTAAGCAAGCGTGCATGTCATGCTCTACCATTTGCATATGTGATAAGGTACCGAGCTTTACATTCCTCATCCGCCTGGCGAAGAAGGAAACCATACAAGAATCTGAGGCACAAAATCCGCTGCATGCATGCATGCAGCATGATTCATGCATGCAAATATGTTTTTGGGACCCTTTCAACCCAGCTTCTGTCCTCCAGTTGGAGCAAGAAGACAACGCGGAGTTTTGCATGAGCTTCCTGGCCAGCTTTGCCCACAATCTTCCATCGGAGGGTGAGATGAAGGCAATTTTGCACAGCATAAAAAAATATATATGCACGCTTGATCCGGTTTGATCTTTTAGGCAGCTACGCCTAACATTTTCAACACGGGAGTTGACCCACCCCGTCTGTTGAGGCAGCGCTTTGTTGGGCTAGCGAGCATTTCTCCCTCAACAAGTTCGAGAACCATGCTGCACATGTTGCCACTTGGCATACTTATAGCATGCGCAAGAAAAAAACTATGATTGATTGCAACAACATGGATGGTCATGCACAATCAAGTTCGCAAACCTAGCACGCATGTACATGCGATTGTGCCCAGGCTTGGGCGTCTGTAGAGGCAGGACTCCAAAGGTCTTTTATGACCTATGCTCTTCAAAGGTTCCAGAAAAAACCCAACAGCCAGGCAGGCTCTCTCCTTTCGTGAGTTGCGCATATCTTTTTCTTGAGTCTGCATGTGTGCCCTGAAGTTGGTTTATTTGTTCAATCATTTTCAATCAAGTGTTTTTTGCCATCAGGTCTGCCAAGAGCAAGATGGCGCAGATCAAAGAAGTAATTCGCAAGAAGCTGGAGGTGGGGTGTGTTCAAATTGATTGACATCTGCAGGGCATTATTACTGGATCATCATATGTAACCCCCCTGCTGGCAGATGGAAAACATGCTCACGGACGATGGAAAGAAAGTGGCTAGCAGGGGGCGATCAGCATCTAATCAGGAGACTCTAATTTGGCTCTTTTGCAATCTGGCTCTTTGAGCGTCGCCATCTGAATTGAATCAAACCAACTTAACTGAATAGGTCTGCAACTGAACCCTGGCAGGACTTCCGCGACATCATCCCGGAGGACAAGAAGCCCGAAGAGACTCAACCCCATGGCACTCAAGGCCAGGCATGTATGCATGGCAAGGAGTCTGTACTTAATATACTATCTGGGCAGGTGGTGATGAAGAGATCCTGGACAACGAAGAGGAGGTTCCAGAGGTTGATGCTGAGGTTCCAGAGGCCGCAGGCCAGGCATGCATGGCAAGGAGAGTCTGTACTTAGTTGAGCTATCTGGGCAGGTGATGATGCCGACGACAAGCGCGACCTGCCAAAGGCTGAGGGTGGGGAGGCCGCTGGCGTGTCTGCTGTGGAGCCTGTGGAGGAGGCTGGTGGGGAGGCCGCTGGCGTGTCTGCTGTGGAGCCGCCTGTGGAGGAGGCTGAAGAGGAGGCCCGGGAGGAGGATCCTGAGTTGAAGGTTGAGCCACCTCCGCACGATCCTACTTGGACTGACAGCCAAATCCCGGTTGACGACGAGGAGGAGGAACCAGTAGATGGGGATGAGCTGGTTGATCCTGGTCCAGATGAAGCTGGATCAGATCCTACCACATCGACTGCCACTGGAGGCAGTGCTGGCAGTGCCAAGATAGAGAGTCCACCTCTTGAAGAGGTCATGGAGGTTGAAGAGTCTGATGAGGAGGATGGTGCCGGTACCAAAGGAACGTTTAAGGACTGGGGCTGATTAACTCAGGTCTTCTCTCTGTCATGAAGTCAGATTTCTCATCATAACTCACATCTTCACTCTTTTATGAAGTCAGGTTTCTGATCAGAACTCAAATATTTAAGATGTTCTCATTCAAGTCAAGTGCTGACTGATCTGGTCTCTTTCAACTCACCCTTTTGCTCGATCCTAATGTTTTGCAGGACCGGAGGCCTTTGCGTGAGACAGCACCACCACACAGTCAGAAGATCGTGGACAAATGTGCCCAGCTGATGCAGGAGTTGCTGAGGTCGAGAAACATTCCATGCTCGCACAGTGACCTTCTGGAGGCCAGCCCTTGTTTTGCCATCTGATTGAAATCGAAACTTCATCCATGCCGTCCATGCCAGTAAAATTCAAGATTTCATCCACACGTTCGGAATTAAAGCCCTGCCAGGCACAACGCAAAATGAGAGCAGCTGCTCGAGAGATGGATGAAGCGGATGAGAACCATGAGGACGGTGACCGAGCTTTGCGAGAGGAGGAGGACTCTGACGATGCCAAAACCAACAAGCGTGGTCGTGGCAGAGGCCGAGGCAGAGGCAAAGGCAAAGGAAGAGGAAAGGGGAAAGCAAAAGGGCGTGGCCACGACGAGGAGAAGCCGTCAGAGACAAGGAAGCGGCCTGCAAGCAAAGTGAAGGAAAGTGAAGTGGAGGGTGGTCGTGAGGGTGACGCGAGCAGGGAAGCCTCGCCAGTGGTTGAGAAGAGGGTGGCAAAAAAGCTGCGGGCATCAGCTGCGAAATGGAGCCCTAGGAAGCGTCAGGCTCCTAGCACGGCAGAAGCTGCTGATGCTTCCAGCCTTCCATCCAAGAGGACCAAGCAGGCCCTGGAGAAGGCCAAAGCTGCAAAGCATCGGGCCAAACCAGTGGCTCGCAAGCTGGACTTTGATGCGGTGGCAGCTGATGAGAATGGCAACGAGAAGGGTGACCGGAAGCCACGTGGTCGAAAGAAGGTTGACCAGGACAGTTTGGATAGCGATGAGAAGATCGTGAACAAGCTGCCTACAGTGGACACTTGGCATATTTTAGAGCTACAACCTGCGCAAATCTATACCTTTGATCCGTCTGCTTACTGAAATCTCTATTTGCCTAATCTGAGGAGCGTGGCTTGCAGGATGTTCAAGATATTGCACTTCGCGATCCAGCTTTTCTCAAGCTGGTAGAGGGTACTGAAATTGCGGCCCTGATTGAGAACAAAGAACATGATGGAAACTTCAAGAAGTTACTTAACTGCGTGCAATTGGAATTTATAATACATGTTATACGACATCTAGGTGTGCACTGCATGCATGCACCTGCTTGTGTGCCTAA